TAGTCATTTGGAAATCCGATTTAAATATTGTTTTGAATTAAAATCAAAAAAATCTGATTTAAATAAAAAAATCCGATTTAAATAAAAAAAATCTGATTTTTTTGATTTTTTTAATAGAATCATGATTTTTTCCAACCCTGATAAAGACTATATTTTTATGATTTAGTTACAAACGTATAATTTTTAGATTTTTCCCTATACTTGTGGTGTAAGGCGGTAGTACTTGCCAAATTTAATAGTTCTAGGTCAACGGAAGGTAGCCCATAACTTTTGATTTTCTCGAGAGTGTCGTTTTTTGCAGCATAAAGGGCTATCTCTTTTTACGTTAACTTAGATGTTGTCAGCATCTTACAACATTGATGATTACAGCTTCAAAGGACTGTAGAGCTGAGTATATCGTTTTAATTTTAACTCGATACCTCCACGCGTTTCCGAAATAAACGGTGACAACATTAGTCATTGCCGCGTCCTTTTCTAATTTGAAGTTCAATAAAACACAAAGTTTACTTAATCGGGATGAGTTGCATAGAGGCCACTAGCTTTTAATTTTAACAGCCGGGTGGTCGGGGTTCAAAGATCTTAATAGAAGGGCGCAACGAGATTATACTCTATGAACTCGGCATATAAGATGTTACTATTAAGTAGACTTCAACACTAACCTCGAACTGTTGAGTACAACTATCATGAACTTCAAATGTTCTATAACTATTTGTACTTAAGTGACTCTAACTTAACTATGAGACTAGACTGCAAATAATACTGCTAAAAATGATTAAGCAATTTATTAAATATCAAAAAGTTTATAAAGCAATGAAATTGAAGTTAAATGAAATGTAAAGCGAAATGAAATTTAAATCAATAAGTACTAAACCTATGACGTCAAACCCCCTTATCTAACTTATACTAGATAGAACCAGGGTGGTTTACATAAATCAAATCTAAAATTATACTAATCTAAACAGTCTTACTCTACTCGATGTGATATACTTGAAAACTTTCTCCGGCTGAGCTACGGCGTATAGCTACAGGGTTGCTACGGCGGTGTACAGCAGCTCGGGGTACTGTCACTGGAGCCCTTCAGCAAATGTACAGGCAGGTGTAGGACTTCAAAAGGTGAACATAAAAACCCTAAATAATATTGGTTGTCTTAGAAAAGAGCCTCAATTATAGAACAAGGACTAGCACAACGTGTAGGAGTTAATAAAGGTAATAAAGAAGGACTAATCAAATCTGAACTTTACCTCAACGAGGGTTTATGATGTCCAACGGGTACCTCTACAGGGACAACAGGAACGGATGGAATTCTGGACTGTTCTGTGCTACGGTCTGGATCGGTCTTCTTGCTCTACAATTACGAACAACCAAATAAGATTCAAGAATGATAACACTCAACTAATCTTTCTACACCACGTGGGCGTGGAAAAGTCGAAAACCAGTCAACAATACGAATAAAAATCAGTTGAGCATTGACTTAGAATAGGCAGAAGAATTATAGCGTACCTTGGTAAGGCGCTACGTAAGGCGGTCGGTAAGGTAAATTCGGGGTAATAAGGTAAATTCTTGGGTACGTGGAATTGGAATATCGGTCGGAAAAATTTGGCTATTTTAATCCCATTGCGGAAATTGGTCGGCGGTCCATAAAAATCATCAAAATCCAACCACGTCTCTGACCAAATGTGTTTCGGAAGCCTTAATCCTTCTTTTCGAAGACCTGCTATTCACCAACAGGGAATGCTTCACGAAACGACAGCCAGTTCTTCACGACGATATTCTCGGTCGGGGAGTACACAAGAAGTGATGCATGGATTCGATTTCCTTCACAAAATCAGATTTCAACCGGAAATCTTCCTCCAGGATATAGATAGAGAACTATATATCTTGACTAGTCCAACTCACAAAAAGGCATAAATAAAAAACGATGTTCTAGAATATTTTCAACAGCCATATTTCATATCCGGTCAATAAACGAACTTAACTCACAAATTCCCACAATTAAATGAACGAATTGCACACTGCGATCCACATCAAAAATAAACAATTTAACTACGAAATTTTATCGGATAATTATAAAATTTCAATAACCAAAACAAAGGATAAATAAATCCACAAACATCTGATTTGATCTGACAGTGACAAGTGACAAGTGATGACCAAAGATAAAGAGAGGTCGCCAAAAATTCTAGTGCTGGGCCAGTGACAATACTGTGGAGCTGTAGCTGTAGGTATATCGCGGTGTATATCGGGTTGCATAATTGTAAAATTTAAATAAAACAATATTTAACAATAAAATTATAGTAAACATGATGCAAAAATAATAGTTATTTGCGATAATTTATGAGCTAGCACACAGAGGTCGTTGCGAGGAAATTTGACTGTTACATCATCTTATAAGGATTTTTCCTTTTCAAGTACGGAACCCTAAAAATACTAAAAAAAATAAAAGTTATACAAAAATGTATATTTTTTCATAGCAAAAAGGTATAAGTCTAAGGTTTTATATCTAACTGAGAGCAATAATGTAAATTCGCATTTATACTGTCAAATACCTAGTGAAATCTATTTTTGACCACACACCATAGCGAATAAACTTGTAAATTGGATTTGGCTCAGATTAAATTCGTAAAATAATCTTGCATTAGTGTCCCGACCTTTCAACTTAATTGTAAGACAAACATACATACTTTATCCGATAGGATTATGGTTTTGGACATAGTAATCCGCTTTAAACCATTGCATATTTACTAAAAGAAATAACTGCAGTATTATAATACAAAATATTCATAATGCATCGCTGATCTGGTTTTATGATAAGTACTAAAACTTGAGACAATGACACAAACAAAAAATGAGAGAAAACTAAAAACTGTCTCTACTTCTGTGGCGGATTCATCTCTTCAAAAAAGTCTTATGGGTATTTCGACACTGTAAGAAAATCTACAAAATAAAATATTTATTTTTTGTAACACTGCTGCATTAATCCAACGGAGACCAGCTTGTCAGCAGTGATTTACTAATAAACAAATTTGCCTACCGGGCAAAAAAATGCTTAACGTTTCGGGAAGTAGGTATATCTCTTCCCGTCATCTGAAGCAAAATTGTGAATAACATTCAATAACTTTCCCGGATATTCAACTCTCCCGAAATAATATTTTATAGTTTCATGGCTTCTCACACCGATTTGATCAAAAGCAAAAATGGATATTTGTATCTAGAGATATCAATTCTATTTTGGCTTTCGAACTTCCGCATGCGTAATAAGTTGATCTGCTTACTTAAACTACTACGACGGAAAGTAACGCCTGGGTATAGGCAGTGTCGCAAGAGCACCTGTAGATCCGTGACTAAGGCCATTGCTTGGTAAGCGAATGGTCCGTGGTTCAAATCTCGGACTCCGGACCGAAACATTTTTATATATTTTTTTTTGCTTATAGCGTGATTTGATTGCATTGGTTTAACTCTTTTTGGTTGGATTGGTTTAGTTATTTGGCGGGTTGGTTAGCGTGGTTATTTGGAGGGTGTTAATCATTGGTTATAATAAAACGCGAAATAAATCTCTGCGCATGTGCAGAAGCTCGGAAGCCAAAGATGAATTGGTTTCTCTAGCCACAAGTAAAATGGATTCAAGCAGTTCGATGAAACAAGTGAGTAAACAAAGTACTCGTTACATAACCAAAAAATTAAATAGACAGGCTATGAGAGGATAAAATAGAATTTGCAATGTTAATGGTATACTTTTTTTAATCAACTAGTGATTAGATGTTTTATGATATAAAATTATAATTATGTGCCTTTAAAAAATTTCGTTATAGCCGAAATAGCCCCAATTATGATCCCACTAGCAAAACCGGCGATTAAAACTGCTCGCTACCGTAGTTGTACTCATCTAAAAAGTCATTTTAACTGGAATAATAAATTATAATTCAAGTTAGATCTTCAAAATATTTACTTTTTATTTTTAGAATTTTCACAAATTATACTTTCTAACACTTGAAATAATTAAATAATAATTTTTTCGTATACTCGCTATTTAAAGCCGTGTATTTGTATATACGAGTTGTTTACGATATTCTTCGATAATGGCAGCACCGGCGGAGAATGCACCAAGTCTATAGACCATAACCAAAGAATATACCTAGCTAGAAAAAGAATGGACTCTGCCATACTGAAAAATGGTCCTACAGAAGTGGCGCCATCTATTGAGTAGGGCTTGTTTTAAATGGATCGAAGCGCGGGCTTTTTAAATGAGGGGATTTATTGAATTTTACTCTAAAATAATTAAATTTGATTATTAAATCTTATTTTTTACACGAATTCAACAATACTAATAACGAATATCGTTGTGATGTGTAAAAAATAAGATTTAACAGTATAATTTATACAATTATTAAATCAAATTAAAGCCAAACATGTGTAAATATTATTTATTAGGTATTTAAAGTTTTTATTTATAAGTCAAATATTTAAACATCGTTTATTATAATAAAACAAGACCAACGTAATACGCCCAAAGTTTTGTAAATGGAGTAAATATAAATAGGTACTTAAATGATGGCAAAAATAAAAGACTCACATTATATTTTTAGGGCCACAAACAAAAGGAATTGTCTAATAAAAACACATATATAACAAATTATAGTTTGACAAACGTTTTGATAATCATTTTTGATAATATTATGATTGGCGCTATGACAACGACAATATTTTTTGAGAATTTGACAATAGTATGACAATGGCCGTTGGAAACTATAGAAACTACAAAAAAAATCTGATTGAACGCCATCTGGCAATAACTAGTAGCAACTTCTTAACCTAAAAATTAATTGCACTACCACCTAGCCCGAGGCTGGAACTATTTTATTTGAAATGTCCGTGGAAACGGTGGAACCGCTTTTGCTATTTCACTTTCAGGCCCCTGACCATAACTATAAAATAATAATATAGACAGCATATAGATAGGAAATTGACACTGACAACTGCACTAGATAGTTCTACATTTTCAGGGCAAAACTAGCGTCAAAAAGCACAGCTACGCACCCATCTGGAACGAACAGCTGGTTTTTACCGAAATGTTTCCGCCGCTGTGTCAGAGGATCAAGATTCAGCTGAGGGACGACGATCCCGTGAAGCCCACGGTGATCGGTACGCACTTCGTGGATCTGAAGACCATCTCGAACGATGGAGAGAAGGGTGAGATCAGGTAGCTTTCTGGTATTGCAACAAGTAGGGACGAAATCTTTAAAAAAACTGCTTTTAAAGTTAGCAGATCTTTAAATATACCCTACTTTTAATGATTTTTTAGGAATATAATTTATAACTATATCAGTAAAAATGTGACCCAACGTGACTCAGCGGCAAGTTTGTCTGTCCGCTGACCTCATAGTAGAGCGTCTATTTCAATCACGCTCTATTAACTTAATTTAAACTATGTATTTTTGAAAGCACGTTTGTATATTTAGGACCAGGAATTGAAAACCCATTTTTTATAAGTTGCCGCGTTTCGACGTATATTCTCGTCTTTTTCAAGTCTATTTTCAGCTAAAATATTTTTGATAGCTAATTATCTGTGGGTCCTCGCTATTGATCCAGTTATTTTAAATATCGATTTTTAGTGTTTTGTAAAATAAGGGAAACTTAATATTTTTTTTTATTATAGTGCTGTGTTAATGTCTTGTGTATATAGGCTGATTCACGGCGATGACACATTAAGCGTTTATGGAAAACCGGTGATAATTTTTAGATAAAGGCACCTGCTCCATCTTTCTAAAATATTTTCAGCATTACAGTTTTGCCGCATCATTTAAATAGTTGTAGCATCTTTCATATTTTAAATGGAAAATCCGGTATATTATTAGATTTTTGGAAACTACTTTTATATCTCATAATTTTTTATTATACTAACCTATACCTATAGTCTATAAAATGAATAACTTTGAATTTTGACCGTTATTTTTTACCAACATGGCAAATATAATATCCCTCTGTCAAAAAATTTACTGATATTTTTTAAATTGAGTGCCGGAACGAATCAGATAGGTAACTCTTTTTACTTTCGTGAAATAGAAAAGGAAAATAATAAAACAAGTGACAGTTCTTCCTCTTCTTGCAAAAATAAACACGAAATGTCATAATTGTCAAAAGTAGAATGTCATCAGCTTTTGACATTTCTAAATATCTGACCAATGCCATCTCTAATAACAGCCTCTAATAACAGCCTCGGAGCGAGATTTATGACGTCACGCTAGTTAGATACTACGGATTAATAAATATGTTGTAGAATACATGGAAAACATAATTATTCCTCGTATTTTTGATTACACTAAAACGTTTTTTAAGCCAAAAAAATAAGAAAAAACCAAATGAAAACTTAATCAGCGTTTTTCCCGAACCTAAATCCCAAGAAAATCTAAAGTTTTAGAATAATTTTACATATAATATGACAGCGATCTTTATTTCCTAGCCATCGCTGACGCCTTTTTCCTATGACATTGCATTATTTGCAAATATAATTTTTCGAACATTGATACTTGCAAAATATACACATATAAATTTTGTGAATGCAAATAATAATACATCACTATTAGTAGATATTAAATGTTTTTTGTTAAATTAGATCGATTTTCAAACCCCAAAATTTAAAATATATTTTACATTTTTCCATTATCTTATGTACCTATTCAATAGTTGTATATTGCAAAACATTTGCTGCATTTGTATGGTTCATAGTTTATTTGCCAAAGTATTTATTACTATAAATAGGTATATAATATATTGTATTAATTAACTGTATATTATGTATATTTACATTTACATTTTTAAAATACAAACCAAAAATACGAGGAATAATAATTATGTTTTCCATGTATTCTACAACATATTTATTAATCCTTAGTATCTAACTAGCGTGACGTCATATATCTCGCTCCGAGGCTGTTCTATTAGAGACGGCATTGCGTCAGCATGGCCGCAAGTTGCTAACCTAATAAAATTAACACTAGAAAAGCCCGCGGGAACTGTCAAATTCAAAGCTATTCGTTTCACAGACTATATCTCTAACATTTTTTGAGATAATAAATAAAACATGTGTAAAATTGACAAAAACATGATCTTGAATAAGTCTTGGTAAATTTAAAATTATTATTATACTATAGCCTAATGTAAATGAACCTGATAAACTCAAAACACCCTATCAGAATTGAACTTGAGCATATATCTCATATTTTTTCTAGCCTCAAAAAAAATACCACAAATCGCACGGATCTTAACCAAAATTGGTATAGGGTTTTTTTTTGGGTCGCTGATCATGAATCTAATGTCGGATTTGCAGAATTCAAAATGGCGGATCTAATATGGCCTATGCAAATTTCAAAAAATTGTATTGTATATATAAAAAAAAGTTTTATATGGGAGTTTTTTGGGTCGCTGAACGCGAATTTGGGGTCAACTGGGTCACTACTCACGAGTCTGACGTCGGATTCTCATAATTCGGCGGATTGGCGGATCAAAAAATATGGCCGACTTCAAGAATAGCCTACCCTATGGGTGCGGGTCCAATTCTCAACCTGGTCATGCTCTACGCTATGGCACCACGGAAATGTTTCTCATGTGCTAGGAGAAATTCGCCGTTTCTCTGGTGGCTCGGATTCTACTATAAACTCCAGTCTTAAATCTCCCGTTAAGATGCTTAAATGCAATACAAATTCATCACCGGTTCTCCATAAACGTCTAATGCACCATCGCCGTGAATCACCCTGTATAGACAGACTATAACTAATTATAACTAATTATGTATAATGTTTTCTAAAGTTGACAAAAACCCCATTTAGCTGAAGACCGCCTTAATAACGACGAGAACATGGGTCAAAAGGCCGACAACTTTTTATAAAAAAGTCTTTCATTTCCTGATCCTAAACCTGCAAACGTCATTTCATATATAACATAAGGACGCAAATCTACCACATTATATATATTTTTCAAAAAAATGTCTATATCTCAAGAAATATAATGATAATAAACCACTCTAATATATTTGTCTAGTACAACCTTTCAAATGGTACCGTTTCGGATACGGTGATAAAATGTAGCATCCTTGTATTTGTGAAAACATTTTTGAATTACCTACAAAGAGATCGCCTACGTTCTTTATAAAAAAAATAGAAAAAAAGATTAGTAAAGATATGTTATAAATTTATCCAAAAATATCCTTATGGGTTTTTCGCCACTGCACTGCAAGAAAAATCTACAAAATAAAATAGTTATATTTTGTAAACACTTCTGGCGTTAAACCTAAACGGACGCTGCTTGTCAGAAGTTGTGTTTATAGTAATAAAAATTTGCCTAACAAAGAAAAAAATGCTTAACGTTTCGGAAAGTTTTCTCTTTCCGTCGTCGGAAGTAAAAAAATATAAAGAATCAAGAAAAAAACTATTTAAAATATTTAAATTGAACTATTCGAGAACACTTTACTTTTTAAAACAGATACGTCTACAAGAAATCGTTAACGTTCTGTTAAAATGACATTATATTAAGTTAAACTTCAAAATTAACAATTACTACCTGATAATTACTTAATAAGGTAAAACCAAAAAGCCCAAACTTTCTGTATGATTATTTTTAAATTTTACATATGTTATGTTTATTTATGTAATGTTCTTTAAAATCAAAGAAGCAATTGCCATACATTACTAACATCTACAGATGCATGAGCAATACATTTATTTTTATTAGATTGAATTAAAAAAAGCCTCTTTTATTTTTCTCTTAGAGGCTATCGCTTCTTTCATTATAATTTTGGCGTTATTAAAATTTATTCTGTGTTTTTTTTATTATATTTTTTTTATGTTATAAATTAGCATTACTTCGACTTTAAATTAAAAAACATTAATAATATTGAAATATTAGGAAATATACAAATTAATAAAAAAATTGCGTTAAACCGATTTACTTTAAAATCTTTTGGATAGATGTACCCCTACCCATTATCATCCGGAACGTCTACTTCTTTAGTTTCCACACAAGTTGCATAAAAATTAATATTTTAACTCCACTTCAAATAATATTTAAAATACGGATATAATAGAGACAAAGGGTAAAGCTATCTAGGCATAAAAATTAGATAGTTCATTAATATTTAGTAAAAATTGTATTTTAATTAAATCAAATTTCTAACAAAACGTCATTAATAGCATACGAGAAATAATGGTATTTTCATAACTTCTAACAAGTTTAACCTCGAACATAATTTCATTATGTGTGATATGCAGCGGCTTTTATGGTAACAATTAAAATTTTACAAATTAATTAAATCACGAGCTGGAGCTTATCCAATTTATCACGTCCGTGTATTCCTCGTGCCAAAATTCTATATTTTATTAAGTGACCCTGCTTAATTACCATTTCAATTATCACACGTAGTGTTTGGCAGTGATTTTCTTTATTTATTATATATCTCTCACGTTTCACAGTCGTATATTAATTTTATAAAATAATACAATAAATTTATACATTTAAAAAAACCCTGTAATTTTTACCATGCAGAAACATATTAAGTTTCTGAAATTGTTTCATTTGTGTCCAATTATTTTGTATCATTTATATTTTGAAGCTAAAAGTATATAAATTTATTTTAATAACTATTGATTTAAACTAAATAAACATGTATTTTGTTCTAATACGACAATCTACGTCATATATGACTAAAAATAAAATTTCTATAGATATATAATTATATCGCAGTAATCCAATAATAGAATAAACATTAGCAGCATCGACATTTATAGGAGACAAACAACATTGTTTTGAATGATTTTTAATATATTACAATTAAACTTTTACAAATTAGCAGATTTTGCGAACTCATATTTTGTTACACGAAAATTACTATCACTACCCACTATCAACTTTGTTGGCAGTTATTAAAAAATCAGTTTTTGTTAAAATAAAGATTTTAAGACAGCGTTTAAGGAGCCCCTAGATGCCCCTAGAATATTTCTAACCACAAACGGTTCAATATGTTTGTAACATATCGACTTTTGCCAGTTGGAAACCAAATGGTTTAAAGGCAATTTAAAAATATCGGAACATAAAACCTGTTTGGTACAATTGTGTTATATGGTTCCTCATTACTTTGTTGTCCCTTTACTTTTTGGTTGTCATTGTTAACTGAGTTTACAATTGCGTTCTATTGTACGTTGCTTCCTCCCACTAATTATGCATGCTATCCTCTTTAAGTTTTCGTGGAAAATATCATTGTACCTTTTGAGTTGTCCACCCTGTTTTTTGTTACCGTCTACAAGCTCACCGTAAAGAAGAAGAGATTTTTGTAGGCCGTTTTCTTGCGTCCTGCATACATGACCAGCCCATCTTAAACGGAATTAAGTAATCATACTTCAGCGCTCTCGCAACTAGCTTTTTCAAGGACCGATACGTTTGAGACATGGTGGTACCATTTGATTCTTAACAGTTGTCTAAGGTGTCTCTATTGCAATTTGTTTAATGCGTTCATTATTATTCCTCGGGACACTGCAAGTTTCGTTTTTGTGACCAAGTCATGATTGTACAAATCCCTGCCTTTTAATTTCAACAATGCTCTTGAGGCGCTGCTAATTCTGTGCTGAATTTCAGAGTCGATATTGCCCTTTACACTAATCCAATAGTAATCAATATTCTAGCAACAAAAACATTAATAGGAAACTGTAGCATTTTTTATTTCCTTTAATAAAATTGAATTTAAAAATCTATTTTTATTTAAATTTCTTAGTATTGGCGCCATCTATTTGCTAGATGCCAAAGATACCAAACTCCATTTGTTACAGCTCACTTGTCTCGATATTTAATTTCTATTAGCGCATCTATTCGCCAGATATCAAACTTCATTTATTACACTTGTTCACTTGTCTTGTTTATTAGCGCCATCTATTCGCTATATGCCAAACTTCCTTAATTGCATTTCACTTGTCCGAATCTCACTTCGCTGTGGATTGCGATTTTCTGTTCTAATGATTTCGATCATATGATATCACTTTTTTCTCTCTCATTTTGTCTGTGGTGAAAAGGTTTTGGCTTGGGTTCTGAAACTGAGAAGAAGGTCTTTTTTTCTGAGAATTTGGATCTGAAGAAGACGCGTGTTTCGGCGTCCGACAAATTTTCCAGTGAAAAGCACTCTGAATCCACTTTTCGATTTCCATTGCATGGGTATGCGATTTGGAAATTTGAAAACTTTGTAAAGTATGCAATCCAGAGTATAGATCGTATTTGTTTGGTTTCTTCTTGGAATGATCACCGTAAGTTTATCCGCCATTTTATATAGCCCAATCTAACTAAATTCTATTTCAGTTATTTCCGTTTTTTATTTCGTTTATTTGAGTATTTAATTACTGGTTTGGATCGGCATATGGTTTGAATATATTTATGTAAAGCTGATTTTCAGACCGTAAGTTGTTTTTTTTATTGAGTATCTGTCCTGAGAACTATTTTTTTATTTATAGAGTAACTACCCCATGGTACTCAGTAACTACCACATGGTACTCAGTAATTACCACATGGTATGCAGTAATAGTGCAGTAATTATTGTATGTTTCACCCACTTTCATTTTGTATGGACCTATGTAGACCTTAAGACAGTGTTCCTGACATTACAATCGTTTTTTTTTTGGCTGATATCGAAGACTTCTCCTGCCATAGTCATCTGCATCCACTTCTGTTAGTCTGGAGAATACCTACCTATCTGTTTACATCATAAGAAACTATATACAGATAAGTCTTAAGTTTGATACACAAGGTACGCTTTTATTTTATAATTTTTGAGACAACAGATTTAATAACCTGGTAAATTATCACTATTTATCCCACATATTGTAGTCAAAATTATTTTTTATTTAACGTTATAAGTTATAATTTGATTCGTACAGTACACTCTTACTTAGCTATGATATTTTATATGAAAATTATTAACACGTATTCATTTTAAAGGTTTTTGTACACGACATGTTTCGAAACATCATCGAATTGAGACATACATAAATTTCACCTGTTTTTATATTAAGTAGCTTACTTAGTTCAAAGAATACAGTTACTAAATTCGAATCTATTTAAAATAACTTGCGGTTTTATTGGGATCACTGTGACTAATTGATGATACTTGTGTTCGTTTTCAATAAATGTTTAATGTAGGATAGTTATTTCTGACTTTTATTCCTGATAAACATAATAGACCCTTAATGCTGTTGATTACTTTATTTTAGCTATGTTGTGATATCGTATTTTTCTTTTTGGTTTCTTACTTTACCACTGTCATAAACAAAGTAAGTGGCGCCCTTTTCACTGTCTTTGACCATACCTATTTGAATTCTTAACATCAATATTAAAATCTCTGCAGCCTATATATTATCATTTTTTTTATTTTTTTAACATTAGAAAGTCACTGTGAGTCAGAAGCCTTACCTACGAACCCAGCTTTCCTCTAACCCTGAGCAACAGATTTTTTTTTATTCTATTTGGGTAACGATAGAAAAATCGTCACACATAGAAGAATAAAGTATATGGCGCCCAACGTGGGGCTACGTATATTTCTAGTATAGATTTGCATAAAAGTTTCTGGCAGATTCCATTGTCCGAGGATTCCAAACTAAAAACTGCTTTCAGTATAGTTGGTAGAGGTCAATTTCAATTTAGTAGTTTTTTTTAGTAGTAAATTTTTAGTAGATAATAGTAGTTTTATAGCTTACACTCACCAGTTCCACACAAAATTGTTTTGTACGATTCCCAGGACTTTAAATACTACAATTTAAATTTTACACATTAACATATTTTATGAACTCGATAATTACAGCAGGATTGCTATTATTATCACTATCGACTTTCTTGTCACATTTATCGCAAAAACTTTGTCTTGGTAGTGGCTAGTGATACATAAACAAAAATTTCTACTAACTTAATATAATATTGTGCAATTATATTCACAATATTGTATTATTTATTCTACCAATCAATATTTTTATACAATAACGACTTTTGCCAGTAGGAATCCAAAAAGCATTCAAAGCAATTTAAAAGTGTATAAACATAAGGCCTGTTTAAAATTGTGTTATATTGAATTCGTTGATTTCAATTATTAGTTCTAAGACTATTATTTTTTTTTTCTTTGCCTGCTTATAGGTCAACTTTTTAAATGTTTCAATTAACATCTTCTATACGTTATTTTCAAATTTCAGTCATTCGATTCTGTTTTCTTAATTCTCCATAACGCGGGACATTCACGATATGAATTCAAAAATTCAATAATGAAATCCCTTTATTTCGCTTTGTCAAGATAACTTGCGTACACGTACTGAATTGAACTGTCAAAGATAAACATTGTACAATATTGTCCTTGCATGGGAGGTTCACAGTTTTGCATTGAAACAGCAACCAGGCGTACTCCAATCGTATAATGACCAATACGCGTCTATGAACCTACGCCTTCGTGAGCAGTGGGCCTAATACAATTTTGTGCAATTAATTTCAAACCAGTCAAAGTAAACTCAATATATTCACTAGACGCACAATAATAGTTTGCAATATCCTATATTGCGTAATATAATTGAGCGTCTAGAGGACCCTTCAACAAACAAATTCATAGATTAACAAAAAATAAAGCTCGAAGAATAAAAATTAGTTCCAGTGTCACATACAGTACTGAGAGCTGAGTAATAAATTATTAAAAATATCCAAATTCCGGAAAACATTGTATTTAATAATAATTCCTGAAAAAGAAATAATGGTGTTTAACAGTCTTCTAATTAAATCAGATTTAATAATTGTATATTCATAACTTTTAACAAGTTTAGCCTCGAACATAATTTCATTATTTACGATACGCAACGGTTTTTAAGATAAGTAATAAATAAGTTTTAAAAATAATGCTTTTTGAAAACCGCGTCATATTTTAATTATTCGTTCTAAAGCTTCATTCAGAACCTCGCAATTGTGGTTTCAATTAAACTTTATACTTTTTAGTTTACGATCATTCACAATGTCTAAAAAACGCAGTTAAAATTAATAGAATATCTTAGCAACAGCTTGCGGTAGTCAGTTGTATCCATAGAGAAAGCCAAATATTTGGCTTATAAAACAATAAACTTTTGATTTCTAACCACAATTTCACTTGACGGATGATAATGAAAGATTAAAATGACGTTCGCCGCAAATGTTGAAGTATAATTAGTGGAAAAGTCAAAAGTTTGTTAACATTGTTTATTGAAAATGACTACCACTAATTTAGACGTTCTGAATGCTTACATTGAAATTAAAGGAACAAACTTCTACTCCAATTCAAAGCACTAATTTATTCCATTAATTGCGATGTTCTGAATGAAGCTTAAGACTATTATTTTTTTCTTTGTTTGCTTATGGGTCAACTTCTTTAATTTTTTCAATTGACATCTTATCAGATTTCTATAATTGTATTCTATTTTCTTAATTCTCCATAACATTGGATATTCACGACATAAATTTCAATAATAAAATATCTATCTTAATTTCACTTTGCCATGATAACTTGCATACACGTACTGAAATAATTTAATTAAAATGTCCAAATTCTGAAAAAAAAAATATTGTATTTAGTAATAATTCCAGTAAATAATGTTGGTTAATAGTCTCCTAATTAAATCAGATTTAATAATTGTATTTTCATAACTTTTAACAAGTTTAGCCTCGAACATAATTTAATTATGTACGATACGCAGCGGCTTTTAAGATAACAATTAAAATTTTACGAATTAATCAAAGCACGAGCGGGAGCTTATCCAATTTAACGCTTCCATATATTCCGCATGCCTAAATTCCATATTTACACTCGTATTTTATTAATTGACCCCGCTTAATTACCTTTTCAATTATAACTGGGAGTTTAACCGTGGCCGTTTCGTTTGCAGGCTTTTTGCCGACCTTCGGGCCCTGTTTCGTTCACCTCTATGGCTCGACAAGGGACTACACCCTTATCGACGAACATTCCAGCTTAAACACCGGCTTGGGCGAAGGTAAGACCTTTTGTTTTCGTAATAATCTGAATTTTGAATGAACCTCGCTGACGCTCGAAAAGCGAACGTACAGGGAGACAAAAGTATAGTACATGTGAAGACTTGAAGAAAATTATGTTCTAAGGGTGTATTCCGTTGCTTACCGTGGTTATGGTTTAATTTGTTCCGTTTCTATCGGTTTCCTGAAAGTTTTCTTATTACGGAACACGGTTCATAAAAAATTCGGTTATAACTGTCATCAAACTAACCAGCGCGAGAAGGTTGTTTTTTCTGGTTCGTTTGTCAGTCAATGTCATTTATGTGACAGAAATCAAGCAAATATTGGAAGTTCGAGTGAAATTCTCATTTAATTTCTAAAATTCGTAATAATATTTTGTATTTACATCTAAAAGCAATGGAGGTAAACAGTAAAGGTAAATAAATTTCATTAACTAAATAGAATGACTTTTTAGGACCTATTGCACCTATTGTTTCTTAAAGTCACGAACATTTTAAGAAAACATGAAAAACAAGACTTGTTTTTCATGTTTTCATGACAATGTTTTGTAAGCTATAAAAATATAAATATTGATTAGATTTGTTTATTTATTATTGATCTGTTTTAATATTGGACCTGTAAATCTTCACTTGAGCTGTCTAACGAGTTTAACAGTTTATTAATAAAGTACTTTTCAATATTAAACTCCTTTGAAAACAAGAAGCAAACGTAAAAGCAGAGAATAGGTACATTAAAAATATATAAAAGATAAATTTTATAATAGAGGTATTAAAATTTAGAAAACGTCAACATTTGACGTTTCCAGTATTTTACCAAACCGTTCCGTACCAAACCGATGTTTTTCAGGAACCGCTCTTTACCGTAGTTTACCGATCTGGTTCGCCTGGTCTTTTGCAACGGAATACAGCCTAAGTGTCAAAAAATCGGTATTTCATGTTTTATTTGTAAAATATCCTAAGCTTTGATCTTAAGGTTCCATAACCAACAACATAATATAAACCGCTAACAGAGACACCGTTATCTCGAAGTAATAATTTTGTCACTTAGAACATTATTTACTTCAAGCCTTCGGGTCAACATTCCTTTAGCTGAAATCAGTTATTCAAGAAATATTTGTTTATTTAGTGTTCGGAAGCCTTTTCGAATAGTATGTCACAAAAAAAAATTCTGCGGAAATGCATGCTTTTTGAGTTTTTCAACTTTAGAATAGCTGGAATCAGAACTACTTTCATTTATCTGAAATCAGTTATCTAAGAAATATTTATTTATTTAGTATTTGGAAACCTTTTTGAATAGTAGTAGTCATAAAAAATTTTCTGCGGAAATACATAATTTTCAGCTTTTTTTTTAGAATAGCTGAAATCAGTTAGATGAAAACACGTTTTTGTTGTTCATTCTAGAATTTTTTCTAAACATAGACACGCAAAGAACATCTTATGGTGTACCATTTTCCTTTATTGATAACATTAAGATTTGAAAAGCACTCAGCAATTGGAATTCGTAAACAGGCACATTTTAGCTAAAAAGTGTTGATTGCTTTGGTTAGGTTTGTTTGGTTTGGTTTCGTTTCATTTCAAACTACACTTTTTCAAACATGCCCTTCAAATCCTTCAATTTAATAGCTGCTAGTAAGAAGTTTCACTTTAAGTATGCACACATAGTGCACACCCAGTTTTTTACATAGAATCCATCAACGTAGTCAAAATTTTGTTATGGCTTGTCATTACTTAAATATTACCAAAAATATTGTCAAGAAAAATGGCGCATCCGCCAGAAATTAAAAATGTATTACTGGTTGCCTGCACAACCGCAACGTATCCGCCAGAAATTAAAAGACTTTTTCAGGCGCCATCTTTTAGTCAAGTCGAGAAGTAAGGGAATCAGACAATAGAATTGTCTGGTATGAAGAAGTACGCTTTCCGAGAATTGGGGAAATTTCGAGAAGCAGTCAATAGAGTATATAAGCCGGAGCCATCGACAACGGAGACAGTTTTTGAAATTTGAATATACCGCGTGGAAATTGAAAATCGGACAATTTGGTGAAGGAATCTTAGTTTGTTGTGTGTTATAAGTTAGTAATTGTGTATAAAGTGAGAAAATAAATTCGTTAAGTATTTTATCGTGAGTTTAAATTAGTGGACCCACGGAATCCGTAACAATTGGTGTCGGAAGTGCGATTCAAGAGGATTTTAAGAAGAAATTAAGTGGATTGGAAGATTTTTAGACCGAATTTAAGTATTTCTATGGTTGGTACAAGGGAGCAAGCGAAGAAAATGGAGGAAGTAAGCAAATTATTGGGCGATTTTATGGAGAATATGAGAAGAGAGAAAGAAGAGGAACAAGACCGTCTACAGAAAATACTTATGGAAAATCAAGAAAAAATGTTAGAAAGTTTAGAAGCGCGTCAAAAGAAAGAAAAACAAGAAGAACAGGACCGGCAAGACAAAATTTTCGAAGATTTGAAAATTCAACGACAACAAGACAAACAAGAAGAACAGGACCGGCTTGAGAAAATTCTGGAAGATTTCAAAGTTCAACGAGAGCACGACAAACAAGAAGAACAGGACCGGCTTCAGAAAATTCTTGAAAATCAAGAAATTAGACAAGACGGTTGGAGAAAATTGTTGAAGATTTAGAAGTGCGTCGCCAGAAAGAAAAATTAGAAGATCAAAACCGATTTAAGAAGAACTTTGAAGAACTGAAAAAAAGGCAAGACATCCACCTTCAAGAAGCCGTAGAAGATCTTGAGGAACGCCTTCAGCAGAAAATGGAAAAATTAGAGATGGACCTACAGAAGACCAAGGTACAAGTAAAGACACCTGGCGTTCATGGAACTGCGAACCTCAAGGCCCCGACCTACGATGGACAAACCACCTGGACGATGTACCACCGCCAGTTTGAAGCAGCCGCCGCTGCCAACGGATGGACTGACCAGGAGAAAGCAGCGGCACTTGTCATCGCGCTGCGTGGCCCTGCCCTGGAACTGTTGCAAACTATTCCTGCAGCCCAACAGCAGGAATACCAAACTTTGGTCGCTGCACTGGACAGAAGATATGGCGACCAACATCGACGCCAACTTTACCAGGCACAGATCAAGACACGCCTGCAGAGGTCCGGAGAGAGTCTGCAGGAATTTGAAGCAGACTTACGTCGGCTGGTACACCTAGCGTATCCTGAAGCACCGGAAGGATTTAGGGAGGAACTCGCTGCTCAGTGCTTTATCAGCGGACTGAGGGACAACGAATTACAGAGGGCGCTGCAAATATCCCGATTTTCTACCAGCAGCGAAGCACTGTCAGAGCGCTGGAAATCGAAGCTGCATTTAGCGCCATCCCTAGACCGAAGATAAGATCGGTAACGGTTGAGGAACAGCCCGGAAGTTCTCACATACGTTTGGAGGAGATGTTTAGTAAACTATGTGAGTTACTAGTGAACAAGAGTAGCAACAACACCCAGACAGAGAGCTATAGAAGATCACAGGACATAAGGTGCTTTAGATGTGGCAGGAATGGCCACATCAAACGGGATTGCCGCGTTCAAATGCGATCCCGTTCACCATCCAGAGAACGTAGGCACCAGGAAAACTAAAATCAGTCAATACTAAGGGGCGAGTATTGACTGGGGAGAACAGAGCCCCCAGGATTTTTTCCATTAGGAGTCTGGGAAGAACCGCTGACAGTTTAGTGATCGACGGGAAGGTCAATGGTAGGAGAATCCGAATGACAGTGGACACTGGCGCTATGGTATCGTTGGTGCGGGCTAACTCAGTGCAAGGATTGAAGCTGATGCCTCTGGGAAGAAGAGTGTGTTTACGTACAGTTACGGGGGAAATGGCCGTTGTACGGGGAGAGGCTATCGTCGAACTGAAGTTAGGAAATTTGAAGTTTCAGCATAGCGTCTTAGTGGCAGATATTGAAGATGACTTCATCTTGGGCATGGATGTGATTCGTCAACATGGATTTTCGTTCGATCACCAGAGAAATATCTTAAATATTGGAAATGAAGAGTTCATGTTATCTCCAGACGAGGGACCAGGCAGAATGGATGTAAGATCAGCGGAAACTGTGGTGATACCTGGTAATACCGAGAAAATCGTATTCGGTAAAGTGGAGAAAATCGCTGGGTGCTGTGTTGGACTGGTACAAAGTAGCGACAACAAAAAGATAGGTACTTAGTAGGAAAGTCGTTGGTGAACACTGACAAGAATATACCGATCAGAATTGCGAATGTTTTCCCGAATTGTGTCAAGATTCAAAAAGGTGACAAGATAGCCATCTGCGAACCTGTAAGAAGTGTCACCCGATGTGATGAAGTGTCGTCAGCTGTTACACAAAAGGCATCCCAAGAAACACTAAAACATCTAGAACAGCCATGGGATCACCTAACACCTGAGGAGAAACAGAAGGCCAAGCAGTTCCTGCTAAAAGCATGGCGGTATTTTTTTGAGAAGAACAACAGTGGAAGAACGGATTTTGTGAAGCACCGGATTAATACTGGTCATGCTCAGCCGATTCGACAACGTCCTAGAAGGGTGCCCCTTTCCAAACAACAAGAAATGGAGACAATGGTAGATAAGATGCTAGAAGATGGAGTTATCGAAGAATCATCGAGTCCATGGTCATCTCCTGTTGTTTTGGTGACGAAGAAAGATGGTAGTACACGATTCTGCGTGGACTATCGGAAGCTCAATGACGTCACTAAGAAGGACAGCTACCCACTGCCACGTATAGACGACACGTTAACCACACTGGCAGGTTCGTGCTGGTTCTCCACTCTCGACTTAAAGAGTGGATACTGGCAAGTTGGTCTGGACGAGGAAGACAAAGAAAAGACGGCTTTTTCTACAGGAAACGGACTATACCAATTCAAGGTCATGCCGTTTGGATTATGCAATGCTCCAGCCACTTTCGAACGTCTCATGGAGGTGGTGTTAAGAGGATTAACTTGGAAAACGTGCTTGGTTTACCTCGACGATGTATTGGTTATGGGAAGAACTTTGAGGAGCATTTGCGAAATCTCGAAGAAGTCTTCGGCCGCATACGGAATGCTCACCTGTACTTGAACCCGAAGAAGTGTAGCTTATTCCAGCGACAAGTGGAATTTTTTGGGCCATGTAGTCTCAGCAGACGGAATTTACACTGACCAGAAGAAAATCGCTGCAATCAAGGATTGGCCTAAACCTCGCGACAAACATGAACTTAGAAGTTTTCTGGGTTTATGCACCTATTACAGAAGATTTGTCAAGGGATTTGCCAATATAGCTGCACCCTTACATAGACTTACAGGTGATGAAGTCGGCTACGAATGGAACACCGATTGTGATGTAGCCTTTGGAAGACTTAAGGCGGCTTTATGTTCAAGTCCTATTCTAGCCTACCCGCAACAACAAGGGAGGTATATCCTGGATACCGACGCCAGCAATATCGGCATAGGTGCAGTGCTATCACAAGTGCAAGATGGCGAAGAACGAGTGATAGAATATTACAGTCGAGTTCTATCCAAACCAGAAAGGAATTACTGCGTTACCCGGAAGGAGCTGCTAGCAATTGTGAAGGCAGTTGATCATTTTCATAAATATCTGTACGGCCAAGAATTTTTAATTAGGACAGATCATGCGGCTCTCAAGTGGCTTATGGAGATGAAACAACCTGAAGGTCAAATAGCACGATGGCTCGAGAAGCTCCAACAGTATCACTTTACCATCCAACATCGTGCTGGAAAAATGCATGGTAACGCAGACGGTTTATCCAGAAGACCCTGTCAAACCGATTGTAAGCACTGCTGTAAAACGGAACAACGTGAAGGCACTGTCATGATAAGGAGTTTTAAACTTGGAACCGATGAACAGTGGACGACGACACAATTGAGGAAAGATCAAATGGAAGATCCAGACATCGGAGCAATACTACGGCTCAAGGAAGGTAACGGCGAGAGACCACCGTGGCAGGATATTGCGGACAGAGGGCTCGTTTTCAAAGCTCTCTGGGCTCAGTGGAATTCACTGGTTATTGAGAATGGATTGTTAAAGCGCACATGGGAAAGTGCGGATGGCAGCACAGTAACAACTCAGTTACTGGTACCAAGGAAGAAAGTTACCCAGGTATTGGAAGAAATTCACGGTGGTAAAACTGGAGCCCATCTTGGGGTAAACAAGACCTTGAGCAAGCTGAGAGATCGCTTTTACTGGGTGGATTATTGCGAAGATGTCAAGAAATGGTGTCGACAATGTAAAATTTGTGCAGCCAGCCAAGGACCAAGCACTCGATCTAGGGGAAAAATGAAACAATATAACGTTGGACTGCCATTCGAAAGAATCGCTGTTGACATTGCAGGCCCATTCCCTGAAACGCACAAGGGCAACAAGTACGTTTTAGTGGCGATGGATTATTTCAGTAAATGGCCAGAAGTTTTTGCCATTCCAAACCAAGAAGCATCGACTGTAGCTGAAGTATAGTCAATAATGTCTTCAGTAGATTTGGAATTCCTTTAGAGCTTCACACTGACCAAGGAAGGAACTTCGAGTCAAGACTGTTCCAGAAGATGTGTGATCTGCTTGGTATTCACAAGACTAGGACAACAGCTTTACATCCGCAGTCTGATGGGATGGTCGAGAGATTCAATAAGACCATTGAAGAACATCTCTCGAAAATGGTGGATGAACATCAAAGAGATTGGGATCAGCATATACCACTATTCCTAATGGCATATAGAAGTGCAGTTCACAACACCACCGGACTTTCACCATCGAAGATTTTATTTGGTCGAGAATTACGGTTGCCTTGTGACTTGGTGTTCGGATCACCAGACGACAGCACCACGAACGTAGAGGACTACGCGGATGAACTGAAGGAAAGGTTATTGGGAATTCATAAGGCCGTGAGAAGTAAGATTACGCTAGCCAGTGACCGGATGAAAGCTCGTTACGACCTCAGAGCTAATTCTACGGGATTTCAACAGGACGATATGGTATGGTTATATAACCCACAGCGCAAGAAAGGGAGGTCCCCAAAGTTAACTCCAGCATGGGAAGGTCCTTATACAGTCATCAAGAGGATAAATGATGTTGTGTACCGGATTCAACGCAGCCCTAGAAGTAAGATGAAAGTAGTTCATCTGGATCGATTGAGAGATACCAGACAGGAAACCTTGATCGGGACGATCAAATTTGAGAAGGGGGCAATGTCAAGAAAAATGGCGCATCCGCCCAGAAATTAAAATGTATTACTGGTTGCCTGCACAACCGCAACGTATCCGCCAGAAATTAAAAGACTTTTCAGGCGCCATCTTTTAGTCAAGTCGAGAAGTAAGGGAATCAGACAATAGAATTGTCTGGTATGAAGAAGTACGCTTTCCGAGAATTGGGGAAATTTCGAGAAGCAGTCAATAGAGTATATAAGCCGGAGCCATCGACAACGGAGACAGTTTTTTGAAATTTGAATATACCGCGTGGAAATTGAAAATCGGACAATTTGGTGAAGGAATCTTAGTTTGTTGTGTGTTATAAGTTAGTAATTGTGTATAAAGTGAGAAAATAAATTCGTTAAGTATTTTATCGTGAGTTTAAATTAGTGGACCCACGGAATCCGTAACAATATATATTTTTATCGGCCACCCTCGATATTGTCTAATACACAAAACCAAAATAATTTGCACTTTTTAAGAACTATATCACTTACCTATTACAATATTTTTGAAATTTTTATTTTTGTTTTGTTATTACGAGATACTGTTACAATAAAAAGTTTGTTTACAATACAAAATTTATACCTAACCTTTCCACACAAATTTAAACTGAAATTGGGTCCCTCTGCAAGTATCATCGCGACACGTGTAAGCTGTTGAAAGGAATATCGGGTACATAAAATGCACTGCAGTGCAACGTGCAACCTTAGTAAGAAATAAATTTAAAATATTTCTGATGTTTTCTTACTTTTATTGAGTATATTATTTTACTATTTAAATTGTTTATTATTGTATACTGTATTCAGAGCCATAGTCTTAATAAAATATTGCATTTGTTTAAAAATATTAAATGTATATTTTGAGTTTCTTTAATAATACATAAAAATACTTTTACTGTTACTAACCTAAAGATGAATAAGTGCAAATGTTTTGAGAGCTGGTAGATATCGATGAAAGAGACATATTTTCTCTTTGCCTTTTTTTAAATAAGCCGAACATAACACAGTTATTTTTTACTTTCGATATTTAAAAAGAATAATTTTTGCAAAAATTGAGAACCACTAGATTTTCTCTAGGTTTTTGTTCTAATCTATTTTGCCATACTTTCAAGATAATATGTTTTTTAGCTTAAACTTTTTCAAGTAATACAAAATTTAAAAAAATCGTGTTTCTGGGGTAGAAATACTTTTATAAATGTACTAAATAATATGCATTTATTTAAGACTCATCCTGTATAACAGAAAATGAACAGTAAGAAAGAGAAATATCTCCACAACACCGTTTTTTAATGCGATGCCAATTTTTTAACTTATATGAAGTATAAATATTGATATATGATTTTTTAGGGTTCCGTACCCAAAGGGTAAAAACGGAAACCCTATTACTAAGACTTCGCTGTCCGTCCGTCCGTCCGTCCGTCTGTCGCAAAGGTCTATCTTATGAACCGTTATAGCAAAAACAGTTGAAATTTTTACAGATAATGTATCTATGTTGCCGCTATAAGATCAAATACTAAAAACACAATTAAATAAATTTACCTTTATTATTATTTATATTTATTAATTATTACCTTTTAAGTAAGCATTTTACATAGAATCTTTCAAGTCCTCGGTGGCCGTGTGGTTAAAGCGTTAGGACTTTACGCTGCTATGACGGTGGAGCCGTAATAAGGCAGGTTCGAATCCGAGTCAAGGCGACTTTTTTTTAATCGTTTTTTTTAATTTTTACATATTTTTACATATTTATTTTTACTTTTTACTTATTTATTATTGATTAATACAATTTTTAGTAATCTGTTTCTTCATTTTTTTTTTAAATTACTTATACGCGCATTCAAAATTTCAGCTAAATCGGAAAAAAAGTTTATTTAGTGTCTAATGTTGCATAGATAATGAATGGTACGGAACCCTTCGTACGCGAGTCCGACTCGCACTTGACCAATTTTTTAGATATAAATGCGATTTAATGGGTATCAAATAAAATCAGATTTTCTTGCAAATTAAATATTATTAATATATTGAATTTACCCCCCCCCCCATTTAAACATAAATTATTGAAACATAACCTATACTTCACAGGTGTATCATATAGAGCAAGATTACTCATATCAATTAGAACCGAAATCACTGACAACATCGATCTGTCTCCTGCTGCTGTCGAACTAGAACCGACCGTACCAGTTAACGAAGCTTCCTACGCTAAAAACGAAGAGTTTTTCTTGTTCACCACCATTTTAGATGCGTCGATGATCGATAAAAAACTGGGAGACAAACCTGTTTATTTTGAAGTCAGCATTGGCAATGCTGGAAATGCTATTGACGGACACAACACATCAGCAAAAGAGCATTATGACTCAGATAGCGACGAACTAGGTAATTATATTATCATTGTATCAATTTAATTTTCATTATGGTGTTCAGTAGGTTAACTTATTTATACAGGGGGATTCACGTCTATGGTATGTTAGACGTTTATGCTGAACCGGTGATTGGATTTTTTTTTTAATTTTGGTTTCTCTACATAAAGGCACCTGCTCCATCTATCTAAATTATTTTCAGATTTTACTAAAAGCAGTAGCATCTTTGTTATTTTAAATATATACGATATATTATCACATTTTTGGGACTACTTTTATATCTCATAATTTTTGTATTAACCTACAGGGTGCTTCTCAAAAGTGGCTCACCCCTATAACTCACCCCCTATAACTTTTTTATTTTTTCAGATAAATAAACGACATTTGGTATGTTACTATATGACATAAATTAGGATTGATTGGTGTATTTAATTGTTTTTAGTCACTTCCGGTTTCACCGGAAATGACTACAGCTTTTGATTTTTAACTGGCACCCTCGGTATTTTTTTACTTTATTCGATAGAAAATGACATTCTGACTAGAATGACATATCATATGTCAACTTTTGACATTCTCGCTGAATAAAAAATTGTATAATTCTTCATCAAGGAGCCTTGAAAAAATAGATTGGATTGTCTAATGTCTTGTGTCTTGTCCTGGCCAGTTAGAAAATACTTAAATCGTATTTTTAATCATATCTCAAATTTTTCAAATGGAACAAGGGTGGCTCATTAACATATTTGGCAAAAGCATTTTTTTACGAATAATTTGATACCACACACTTGGTATTTCAAGTCAAATTTTCGTTACGAACCGCAAATTATAATTTCAAATAAACCATATGCGAAAATGTCAAAGGTTGACATATGATATGTCATTTTATTCAGAGTGACATTTTCTATTGAATAAAGTAAAAAAATACCGGGGTGCCATTTAAAAATCAAAAGTTGTAGTCATTTCCGGTGAAACCGGAAGTGACCGAAAACAGTTGAATACGTCAATTAATCCTAATTTATGTCATATACTAACATACCAAATCTCGTTTTTTTACATATATATATAGGGATACCTTTCATTAACAGTTTTTCAAATAAAGCATGAAACATGTGTAAAATCGAAAAAACATTATCTTGAGTAAGCATTCGTTAAATCATAAATTCAGCATATTGAAAAATGAAATTTGGTTTATAAATCAAGGAAAGTCAACATATTCGATCTGTCGAAATCAACTAATTGGGTATGAATTGTTAAATTCAAGTCTACGTATGTTATTTAAAAAATCGAAAAACCAATCACAAATTGCTTTTCAACAAAATATCATGTTCCTATTAGTGAACTTAATTGAAACATTTTTAGTTAATGGAAATAGTTTCCAGAAATGTGATTATATACCGGGTGTTCTATTTAATATGACTGAATAGGACCATGATTGAAAGTATAAATAAACAAAAAATGGTAATGAAGATTAATTTTTAAGGAAGTATGTTTTATTTGTTGATATAGAAACAGTAACTTCGGAGACCGCTTCCTGGCAAAGTACCACTACACCAAGTAAGCCAATGACTCATGACAAAATTTACTACTTTCTGCCGTATTGGGATAATAAACCTTGTATGCATATCAGATCCATTTGGCCAGATTACAGAAGAAGAATGTACAATTCTAATATCATAGGAAGAATATCAGAAAAACTGGTAAGATCTTTTTTATTTCTATTTAGATATACAATAAGTTAAAGCTTTAAAATGATAGCAACAAATTGTAGTCGATCTTATGCTCAATTTATTTTATGTAAAATGTACAAATACTAACGACACAAATCTTTATATTTGTGCTGAATATAAGCTGCGCCTGATGTTTGCATTTTATATCTATATATTTTCGTTTCAATGGATATAGAAAATCGTAGGTGTACACGATGTAAACCACAATTTTATGGAAACATTTCTATATCGTCTATTTTTTTCTTATTTGGAATTTTAAACACAATACAGACTGAATATTTCCATATTTATATGTATCACAATAATATGTTTATGATACAATATGAACTAACTATTTCCATAATTATCTCTAAAAACAAAATTTCAAATAAACAAAGTCGTGACATAATTTAGACAAAGAGTTGTATTTATATAACCTATATTTTAAACAATAACATTTGGTTTACAATAATTATTGTTTTTTTTTTTAATTTTAGTATGTTAGTTGAGCAAGAGCCGCAGAATATGTATAGTGTGTCTCATTTTCGCTGTCCTTGCTAAATATTGCTGAAAACTGCTTTAATACTGAAAATAAATGAGTGCGCAAACATTGACTTTCGATCCCGTAATCAAATTTGTCATAGCATTCTTCGTTTATGAGATGCAGGGTGAAATTGAAAATATTGCCTTTTGGGACCTCTACCGGCATCTTAGTTATCTTTCAACATATCGAGCATCTAAAAACTGGTACCTTTATAGTATTTTATATAAAATCCAGAGGCGAAGTAAGATTTTTATTATGACTTATTATTTAACTAATTCCCCATATTATTAACTGTATTTTGATGAATGTTAGGCATTAAATTGTCGTAAATTTGCAAAAGAAGAAGATTGTATTTCAAAAATTAATGGAACTAGAATAGAACAAAGTTTTAAGACCAAAAGTTCCATTAACAAAATTTAATTATAGGAAGATGGTTTAGAAGAAGTGAATGCTAGAATGGAATCAGACGACCCTGAAGCCGAGGGTAAATTAAAACAAATTCTAGAAGACTTATCTGCTGCCTGTGCAAAATACGTCACCATTTCCAAAGCGTCCGGAACCGGTCCTGGAACTGGGAAGACTAAACTGGATAAGGAGCGGTTAAAATTGTGCCAGCGAGAACTGGCAAGTATAAAAATACCGTATGAACGAAAAAAAACGGCGTCCAGTTGGCTTAAAAATGAATATTGCTGACATTCCCCATATAAAATGACAACCATCTTCATTTCATTGCCATCGCTGACACCGTATTTTTTCGATCATATTTTTTGGCACAGTATAACACAATATGGCATAGTGATTCGCTCATCGGAACGGTCTGCTAATCAGAATAGGTTATTACAATTATCTGTTCCGATTAAAGACGTTGCATTTACAAATTTTTAGGCTTGCTTTTGTGTTTCAGATAGGGCTAAAACATTTTCATAATTCTTTTTGAATTTATATTACTTCTTATGTTAATTAAATCGATTCCAACGTTCTTATGAATTTTCTTTTCTGTTATTTGTTTGAATAAAAGCTATACCATGCTGGCAACTCTTACTTTTGGGTCGATATTTACATGTGTGAAAGTAAATCACACAGGCTTCTTATTAAGTTGGAGTGTGAGAAATGCGACGGCGTTGCCACATTTGGCCCGTACGCCTTTCCCTATCAAGTAAAGTAAAATCATAATCAATAAAGTAAGATAATAAATAAGTAAGATCGTAAACCGCTTATTTTTAAAAGATTTTTTTCGAATCGAAAAGATAACTAGATAAAATCATTAAATATGTTTCTGAGCATCTGAAATGAAATTATAAGGATATCGTTAGTAACTTTATGTACCTTTTTTTATTTATAAAGATTCTCACACACTGTCTGCGAAAAAAATTATAGCAGAAATATTAATAAAGTTTATGAAAAAAAAACTACAATCAGTTATTTCTAATGGATTTTGAGATATCGATTTTTGAATTCAGAATTCTAACAGTGCGGCCACTGGCGAACACCAACTCAATTCCACTTATTTTTACCAAAAGTACAAGTGTTTCTAACTTGCACTTAAAAATTTACAAGCTATAGGGAAAATTACAACGACTCGTTAATAAATAAACAAAAAAAGCATCACGAGACGTAATTAAGTTTTAAAGCTGAACGCGTTTACATCATGCTTCCCTAGAATTGATTGGGTATATCGAAATGAGCACTTCATGGTTTTTCAACAAGATGTCAAATATTCTTAAACAATGTATGTAATGTATGTGTTTAGTCTAGTATCTTTTATGGCTATAACTAACAGAGTAGTAGTTTATAGGATGTTTCTGTTAAATTTCCATATTGCTTGCGGTAAATTAATTCAAAATTTTGAACTGGTTACATTGATCCACTTTAAATTAATTCTGTTGGATCTAGTTCAGTAGGTACCATTTTATAAACTTGCCCACAATAAATCCTGCAATTAATGTTTACTATCGATCGTTTTAATATCGCCAATAAATCTCTTACGCCATTACCAATTAATGGCAACAAAAACGTAAGTTTATAAATCGAAGAAATGTTTTTAATCAATTCATTTAATTGTCAGGAACACATTGGGAATTCGGCGAGGAATCTGAAGGCGCTGGTTACCAAGAACTCGTTTAAGGACCGCCTGAAAACTGCACAGACGTACTTAGCCAAGCTCAAGTTTCTAACGGAAGACGTAAGTACTTACTTTTCTTATTAAATTACATCATTTGTCTTTGTACAAACAATAGTGGAAACGATTGTACAAATATTCTTGCATTTATCTTTTTGGTATTTAAGTAGAAATTTTTGTACTCGGATTCTATAAAAGAGAAAAGAACAGAAATTATTTTATTTCAATAAAAAAATGGTAATTGTAAATGGCATTGTTACAAATGAGTTGAAAGTAGAAAAAAACATTATCATCACTCTTGATAATAAGAAAAAAAAAATAAAGATCTATCGTGTACCATCAAATTATGTTAAAAATATACAGGGTGAGTTTCCTACGATGTTCTCTATGGGCATCTCGGAAACTACTGGAGATAGAGAGTCGGTTAAATGGGGAAAGAATTGCTGTTTTTTGGGGTCATAAATATGCGCCTTTCAGATTTTTGAAGAAGTTCATGGCTTACTAGATTTTTCGAAAAAAACAAATTTTGGCTATTTTAAAAATTGTCCCTAATTCCATTATAATCTATTTTAGACAAAAAGTGTTCAGATAAAAGTTGTAGATAATCACATTCCTAATGAGTTTGTGTTCTCCGATTTTTTCTAAAGCCTGTCATTTTTGACTTATGACACAAACATATGTTTTTTTTAATGGAAACCATAGTTGGCCATGACTTCATAAAAAGCGCCATTTTTTAAGCTTTTCAGCGATATAAGCTATAATATGTTTCTTTCACACAATTACTGAATTATAGCCAATTCTTATCTTTCTTGGCTAATTTCACTTAGTTAGCCACGGAAACAAGTTTTCAATGGTGTTCTAATTTTGTTTTGATTTATTACTTATAAAAAGACAAAATATATTATTAAACGGCTCTTTACAATTTGCATTACACAAACTAAAACTTAAAAAAATATTATCACTATAAGTTATTTTAGAAAATTTTCAAAAAATCCGCAATTGTTTTGAGTACATAAATTTATCTTTTTAAAACTGAATTTCTAGCTATTCTCACAGAACGACTTAATTAAACTTCTCCTGTTCCACCTTTTCGAGTGCCTCTCTCAAATCATAAGTTCTTTTGTAAACCTTGTTGTTAACCATACCGCATAAAAAAAATCTAAAATTGATAGGTCAAGTGACCGAGGAGACCCATGCAATTGGTCCACCTCTTTCTATCCCTGAGTCTACATAATTATGATATAAATAATTTTTAACATTTCTTTCATTGTGTGTGGGGGGGATGGGGTTGGTGTGTCATAATGAAAGTCATGTTGGAACCACTCTATTAATGCCCAAATATTAATAAATTTACCTTTTCTAACATGTCTTAAACCTTTCTCTAAAAAACGTAAGTAACGTTCACTGGTCAACGGTCAACCTATCCTCGAAACTGTATAGCCAAGAAAAGTTGAACCAATAATCCTCCACGCTTTTCTTCATTTGAAAAACTCTTATTTACAATTTTTGTTTATTTTAATTTACAAAGATTGAATGTGACAATTTCATATTTCTGAGAGCAACGACGATTGAACTTGTTTCCATGGCTAACTAAGTGAAATTAGCCAAGAAAGATAAGAATTGGCTATAACTCAGTAATTTTGTGAAAGAAACATATTATAGTTTATATCGCTGAAAAACTTTAAAAATTGCGCTTTTTATGAAGTCATGGCCAACTATGGTTTCCATTTAAAAAACATATGTTTGTGTCATATGTCAAAAATGACAGGCTTTAGAAAAAATCGGCGAACACAATCTCATCAGGGATGTAATTATCTACAACTTTTATCTGAAAACTTTTTGTCTAAAATAGATTATAATGGAATTAGGGACAATTTTTAAAATTGCCAAAATTTGTTTTTTCGAAATATCTAGTAAGCCATGAACTTTATCAAAAATCTGAAAGGCGCATATTTATGACCCCATAAAACTGCAATTCTTTCCACATTTAACTGACTCTCTATCTGCAGTAGTTTCCGAGATCCCATAGAGAACATCGTAGGAAACTCACCCTGTATAAAATTCAGATATTACTTAATTCTATTATAAACTTTAATAATATGTCAAAAGACATATTTTAATATAATAAAGTATGTTCTATTCATATACCGGGTAATTCTCCCCCTATAACATTTAGAGACAAAAAAATGAGATTTGGTATTTTCGTATATGACATAAATCAGCATTGAATGGCATATTCAAGTATTTTCGGTCACTTCTTGTTTTACCGGAAATGACTACAACTTTTGATTTTTATATAGCAAGCTTGGCAATTTTTTATGGCAATTTATTCAAGAGAAAATGACTCTCTCAATATAATGACATCTCATTGTTATGTCAACTTTTGACGTTTTTGTTTAAAAAATAATATTGTTACGGATTCCGTGGGTCCACTATTTAAACTCACGATAAAATACTTAACGAATTTATTTTCTCACTTTATACACAATTACTAACTTATAACACACAACAAACTAACTATTTATAAGATTCCTTCACCAAATTGTCCGATTTTCAATTTCCACGCGGTATATTCAAATTTCAAAAACTCCCTCAGTTGTCGATGGCTCCGGCTTATATACTCTATTGACTGCTTCTCGAAATTTCCCCAGTTCTCGTAAAGCGTACTTCTTCATACCAGACAATTCTATTGTCTGATTCCCTTACTTCTCGACTTGACTAAAAGATGGCGCCTGAAAAAGTCTTTTAATTTCTGGCGGATACGTTGCGGTTGTGCAGGCAACCAGTAATACATTTTTAATTTCTGGCGGATGCGCCATTTTTCTTGACATTGCCCCCTTCTCAAATTTGATCGTCCCGATCAAGGTTTCCTGTCTGGTATCTCTCAATCGATCCAGATGAACTACTTTCATCTTACTTCTAGGGCTGCGTTGAATCCGGTACACAACATCATTTATCCTCTTGATGACTGTATAAGGACCTTCCCATGCTGGAGTTAACTTTGGGGACCTCCCTTTCTTGCGCTGTGGGTTATATAACCATACCATATCGTCCTGTTGAAATCCCGTAGAATTAGCTCTGAGGTCGTAACGAGCTTTCATCCGGTCACTGGCTAGCGTAATCTTACTTCTCACGGCCTTATGAATTCCCAATAACCTTTCCTTCAGTTCATCCGCGTAGTCCTCTACGTTCGTGGTGCTGTCGTCTGGTGATCCGAACACCAAGTCACAAGGCAACCGTAATTCTCGACCAAATAAAATCTTCGATGGTGAAAGTCCGGTGGTGTTGTGAACTGCACTTCTATATGCCATTAGGAATAGTGGTATATGCTGATCCCAATCTCTTTGATGTTCGTCCACCATTTTCGAGAGGTGTTCTTCAATGGTCTTATTGAATCTTTCGACCATCCCATCAGACTGCGGATGTAAAGCGGATGTTGTCCTAGTCTTGTGAATACCAAGCAGATCACACATCTTCTGAAACAGTCTTGACTCGAAGTTCCTTCCTTGATCAGTGTGAAGCTCTAAGGGAATTCCAAATCTACTGAAGACATTATTGACTAACACTTCAGCTACAGTCGATGCTTCTTGGTTTGGAATGGCAAAAACTTCTGTCCATTTACTGAAATAATCCATCGCCACTAAAACGTACTTGTTGCCCTTGTGCGTTTCAGGGAATGGGCCTGCAATGTCAACAGCAATTCTTTCGAATGGAAGTCCCACGTTATATTGTTTCATTTTTCCCCTAGATCGAGTGCTTGGTCCTTGGCTGGTTGCACAAATTTTACATTGTCGACATCATTTCTTGACATCTTCGCAATAATTCCCCCAGTAAAAGCGATCTCTCAGCTTGCTCAAGGTTTTTTTTACCCCAAGATGGGCTCCAGTTTTACCACCGTGAATTTCTTCCAATACCTGGGTAACTTTCTTCCTTGGTACCAGTAACTGAGTTGTTACTGTCCTGCCATCCGCACTTTCCCACGTGCGCTTTAACAATCCATTCTGAATAACCAGTGAATTCCACTGAGCCCAGAGAGCTTTGAAAACGAGCCCTCTGTTTGCAATATCCTGCCAGGTGGTCTCTCGCCGTTACCTTCCTTGAGCCGTAGTATTGCTCCGATGTCTGGATCTTCCATTTGATCTTTCCTCAATTGTGTCGTCGTCCACTGTTCATCGGTTCCAAGTTTAAAACTCCTTATCATGACAGTGCCTTCACGTTGTTCCGTTTTACAGCAGTGCTTACAATCGGTTTGACAGGGTCTTCTGGATAAACCGTCTGCGTTACCATGCATTTTTCCAGCACGATGTTGGATGGTAAAGTGATACTGTTGGAGCTTCTCGAGCCATCGTGCTATTTGACCTTCAGGTTGTTTCATCTCCATAAGCCACTTGAGAGCCGCATGATCTGTCCTAATTAAAAATTCTTGGCCGTACAGATATTTATGAAAATGATCAACTGCCTTCACAATTGCTAGCAGCTCCTTCCGGGTAACGCAGTAATTCCTTTCTGGTTTGGATAGAACTCGACTGTAATATTCTATCACTCGTTCTTCGCCATCTTGCACTTGTGATAGCACTGCACCTATGCCGATATTGCTGGCGTCGGTATCCAGGATATACCTCCCTTGTTGTTGCGGGTAGGCTAGAATAGGACTTGAACATAAAGCCGCCTTAAGTCTTCCAAAGGCTACATCACAATCGGTGTTCCATTCGTAGCCGACTTCATCACCTGTAAGCCTATGTAAGGGTGCAGCTATATTGGCAAATCCCTTGACAAATCTTCTGTAATAGGTGCATAAACCCAGGAAACTTCTAAGTTCATGTTTGTCGCGAGGTTTAGGCCAATCCTTAATTGCAGCGATTTTCTTCTGGTCGGTGTAAATTCCGTCTGCCGAAACTACATGACCCAAGAATTCCACTTGTCGCTGGAATAAGCTACACTTCTTCGGGTTTAAGTACAGGTGAGCATTCCGTATGCGGCCAAAGACTTCTTCTAAATTTCGCAAATGCTCCTCAAAAGTTCTTCCCATAACCAATACATCGTCGAGGTAAACCAAGCACGTT